AAAACCCTGTTTCTGCATGGGATTTCCCCCATGTGATAAAGTCCATAGGCTGCTGCAGAATTAATGCAGTTTGACACTGCTTTAACTGTCATGGCTCCATCCTACAGAATCTCCAGATCTGTAGTTTGTTGAAGCACCCGAGCTCTCTGACAGAAAAGGCTAAATCTCCCACAAAAATATAAATCCCAGAATTCTATAGCATTGCATCATGGCAGTTAAAGTGGTATCAAACTGGATTGATTCTGCAGTGTAGATACAGCCCATCAACCTTCTATGATGTAGAACACAGATGTCATACCAGAGTAAAAAAATAATCTAATTTACAACCTCCCTTACTGGTTTCTTAATCTGTACAGGCCACCCTATCTGAGCAACAGTTCCTTGTACCATTGTTTATCCTTTGTTTCCTGGTGTTACACACAATTATAATGTTGATCTCTATTGCAGATTTTAAAATAAGAGAATGGGATTAGTGGAAAGTTCGAAATAAGAACCATGATTTTCACTTCCCAGTTATGTTTTCACAATGCTGGGAATGTATGACTAATTTTTTTCAGCTAAGTACTAAACTTAGAGTTACACCCTTTTGTTTTGACATACTTCCTGAACAGCAAGGTTCAGAAAAAATGAATTCCATTCTTTTCCTTCCTGGAAATGAATTGGCCACACCCAAAGGCTTCAATAACAATAAGCAATCTAATTGTATACATGTTTACCTAGAAGTTTATATGCATTCAGTGGGATCTGTGGCCTATTAAGTGTGTACAATATCATGGCCTTCTTTTTACTAAGTCTGAAATTCTAGACACACTTATCTGGGAGTAATTCATATTGACCACAATGGGACTCATGAATGAGCTGGCATTTATCTCTATCACATTTACATCCAGCCTCTATTACATCTTACCCATTTTTATCCTCATAAAAAGGTTGAGCTGAGAGATTGTGACTGGCCCCAGGTAACACAGTGAACTTCATGCCAAAGTTGGAACTTCAACCCAGAGCTCTTCAATCCTAATGTATTTTAAAGCTATTTTGATTTGTCTGCCAAACCTTCCCTTAGATCATGTCTTGTTGATTTGCCATTCTCCTTTTGAACTTATGTGTATTGTGTGCCTTCAAGTCATTTACGACTTATGACAACCCTAAGGTAAACCTATTGTAGCCAAGAGTCTAATCAAGGGGAATTTATGATAAGTCCAAA